TGCACCGATCACAAGGGAACCCATGTAAGAAGTTCAAACAACTTGTCATGGCCCATAGCGAAAGTGAAAGGCAGTTCTGTACAGTTCTGGCTTAATGTAGTCAGCTCTTCGCGCGATCGCAACAAATGAATTCTCGTCGGTATACCCCTTCCATGTCATTTTCGCCATGGTAATCTCGTCCAACCTGTACTTTCCCTTCTTTTAACAAGCTATTCAGCTATTCTTCTCGAGAATGGCGAATTTTTCCTCGTCCTTCACTACCGATGAGCTATTTCCACCTATACTTCGGCTTTTTAAATAAAAATGGGTACCTCAAAATTATGCTCTCACACTATCCTGGTACAGAAAAAAGGAACGCGCGACATTCTGGCTAGTTGCCGCCCGATTGGACTTCTCTCAACGATGCTCAAGGTTTTCTCACGCGTAATCCTGGGTTGTATTAGTCATATCCTGAATATTAATATGTGCAAAGAGCAGGCCGGTTTCCGGAAATTTTTCCACTGTCGACCAACGCGATTTCACAGTTGACAGGAAGATGTCGAGAATACCGAATTTCTTTGTGGTATCTCTTCATTGACTTCAAGAATACTTACGATACAGTTAAACAACAAGCTGTGCTAAACGCCCTTACAGCTTTTGGATTCTCCGGAGGTACGTCGAAATGACACAGTGTAATACCAGCTGTATCTCCGACGTAAATTTTAATGGAAACCCGATCCGTATCCAAATACGACGCGGAGTTCGGCAAGGTGAGGTCATTTCCCTGATGCTTTTTTCTGCTGCTGTGGAGATGCGAAAGCCCAGATGCCCTGTGGAATCGGCATAGACGGTGAAAGGCTTCAATACCTAATGTTTGCAGACGACATTGTACTCATTGGAGGAAACCGTCTCCAATGAGTACAATGTAAACAAAACTCATTCTCGAAAACTCATTAATGATCCTAAGAAACGCTGCTAGCTCTATCGGTCTCTACCCAAGAAAACAAGTGGATGAAAAACTGTTTCGCAAGTGACTACTGTTTACCCATGGAAGATTCTATCACTGAAGAAGCTTCTTCATACGCTTACCTAGGCCAAGCAGTCACAATGGACAACGAATTGACAATCGAAATAGTCGCCGCCGCAAGGCGGGCTGGACGATATTCAACAAGCATCGCGATATCCTTACTGACAAAAGAATCGATGCTCAAATCAGAGCCCGTGTCCTGCCGGCACTGGTGAATGGAAGCGAAACATGGAGTACAATCACAGATGAAGAAAGAAGACTGGCATACACTCAAAGAGCAACAGAACGAGCGATGTGCGATGTCACGTTGATGCATGAAATTCATGTTCGCGAAGTTTGAAAGCGAAATGGCGCCAAAGATGTGATGGAAAATATCTACGACTCGGAAAAACGATGGGCAGGACATGGAGCTCCGAATGACAACCGTTGTGCATCCCGTGTGGCCAATTGGTACCCCCGCAAAGCAAAAAGACCCCCAACCAGGAGAAGTGATCCTTTTAGAAAAGTGTTCGTACAAAAGTGGCAACTAGTGGCCAAGAAATCGAATATGAACGCCATAGATGCGTCCTGCAAGGAAAGCGAAATCATTCTTGAAGAGAGGACATCAAGGTATTCGAGGTATATATATATAGGGTGTGCGACGCTAGTCTCGACTGACATTACTTCGCGACGAGGTGCGAAGTGACCTCAATCGTGACCAACCTTTTCTTAATTACGCGCCTCCCCTCGATCATAACTACCTCATCTTACTTATGAGAGTGATGGCAAATGATGAGAAAATAAAACTGTTAGAAAATTAGTTTCTCATCATAAAATTCTCATGGTCTTCGGTTTAAAGAGTTTTATTACCATATAGGATAGAAAATTCGATATTCATAAAAATCAAATTCGTGTTAGATGTAAAAAACATTCTTTTTGTCTTTTTTCGATTTTCACTCATCTGTGACATCAAACAACATTTACAGAAGCGACGTAGATGTTTGATATTGAGGCATCTCGTGTTTGAAAGGTCACTGAACGCCCGCCGGTTGATCATTTAGGCCGTTTCACACTTCTTACGGAACATCATAATACTTCAGGCTGAATTCAGCAAACTGAAGAGAGTTCATCAGCTACTGTTTGACCTGGTGGGTATTTATAGGCAACTGTTGACTATAGAAAAGAAGCCTTGCTTAGAACCTAGTTATGTATTCTGACGACACTTTCTACTACTTCTGAGATTCCACGAGGGTACCATTCAGCTTCAACGCAGCTTCAATCCGCACCCAACCCTTTTACTATGATAAATACTTCCGTAGGACGAAACCTACCCAACCGCTCTAACCCATATCACTTGCATAAAGATGTCCAAATTCGTTACGAACAAGACCATCTGAATTGATAAATTATCATTTTCAAGATACTTCCCATTAGAAAAATTAGGCTTCTTTACATTTTATTGGAATTTTCTGTTAGATTTCTTTCATCTTGCATGGTAATAAAACTTTTTAAACTAAAGACCCTAGAAGTTTTACGTTTAAAAAATAATTTTCTTAGAGTTTCATTTTCTCATCATTTTCACCATTCGCCATCACTCTCATAAGTAAGATGAGGTTAGTTACGATAAGGGGAGCGCGTGATGATGTTAGTTACGATTGAGGGAACGGTGCGAAGTAATGTCAGTCGAGACTAACGTCCCATACCCATATATATATATATATATATATATATATATATATATATATATATATATATATATATATATATTATCACGACATAAAAATTTACTGTTGGGTTCCGAAATGGAATGGAGCAATCACGACTGATTGCAAAATACTGTTCACAAACACTGGTCGCAAATCATACGAAATAGAATGAGAAAACTATGAAATCGCCTGCGGTAAATACGAAATTGACTGCAATCTTCACAAATTAGGGTGGAAAACCTCTATCCACCTATCGAACAAACTGTAGGGAATCGGCGAAGGCTGTAAGAACGAGGTGGCTAGTCCGCAAGTGCCGCGCGTGGTGAGCTAGAGGAAGCGATACAACTGCCCGTTCTTCGCGGTTACCAATTAGTGACTCAGACATAGGAGCTCTGCACTTATGCTAAATGCAAAAAAAAACTGTGGAATTGGAGCGCGCAACGTATCTGTCAAATTTGAATGAATGCAACGAAGCCTTAATGAGCGACTGCAGTAACTGCAATTTTAGACAGCAAAGAGGTAAAAAGAACTAATTTAGCCACTCATCAGCAGCCGGTTAATAGAAGGCAAAAAATTCAATTTTAAACTTCATCGCTAATATGGAGAGGGTTCGCAAATTTCAAAACCACGACCGGTACACCCTGAACTTGTCCACGCGGATGGCGTACATTAAAAAAGTAAAGTCTCTTGTACGCATGAATATTTATCAACCACTTGCAAAGTGCATCGAAAATCAGTAATATATAGTCGCTAAATTTTTCCCTAGAATATCGCGTCGAAGTTTCATTCATGAATGTATTGGGTTATCCGGAAAGCTCTGCCGATTTCAGCGTCGAGTTTGAGTGGAAATATCTACAAGCACAAATCCATTTATTAAGGAATATATATTCTCCATTCTGCTCTGTGATGGCCCACCATCTTTCTGAAAGTTTCATTATCCCATTTTGATAGAAGGTTTTACGGTTAGAATTGAAACAAGTTCCTCTGAGTTCTTTGTGCTGTCCTCTGAACATTTTTCCATTCAAAGAACTCTGCAAACCTGAACAAGAGGTAGATTGAAGGTGCTGTGTCCTAACTATAAGGGGGATGCGGTAAGACATCCGATCAAGACTCCACTAATTTTTGACGAGTGGCCAAAGATACGTGTTTTCTTGAGTTATCCTGGTAGAAGACAATACATAGTACATATCTGTCCGGAGTTACTGTTTCATTATGTAGCAACAGCTCATAATAAGTGATCCCCTACCAGTCATCCCACCGCTAGCACAACATAAACTTCCGCACCTGAATTTTGGTTTTGAAGTGTTCAAAGCGGTTTACTGGGAAGACTCCACAGTGTTGTACATGATCCACTTTTCATCCCCAGTTACCATGCGTTTCAGAAACGACTCATTTTCGTTTCATTCGAGCAACGAGTCGCACACGAAGACGCGGTCCATCAGATCTTTGTGAGGTACCCAAACATCAAACGCTCAACAAAACTGAGTTCTAACAAATAGTCATGGATGGCTCACACCGGAACATTGAGTCCTTCTCCTATCTCACTACTATTGCTGCGCCGACTCGTTTCGATTAACATCTTGATTTGAACCTTTTCAGGCGATGATGGCCACCCTGGTTCGAGGCTGGATTCACTCTGTCCAGATTTCGCGAACCAATCACGCATTCTACGTTCACGTATTACACTCTCTCCGTAAATGTCACAAATCTTCCTGGGGGTTTTAACTACGTTCGTGCCATTGCTGTAGAAAAAAAGCATTAGATGCCAAAATGCACGCGATGGTCTTCCATTTTCAGAGCCCTATGCAACAAATTTCAAGGAATGTTAACACTCTGAAAAAGTGATATAGGGGAAGACTCACACTTTTAGGAATTATATGACTCTACCAGGTGATCCCTTTGATTTGATCCAAAACAGTTGATAAACCAAGGATGTTCAAAAACGGCGAGAACTTTCCGGACAGCCTAATATGTTTTCTCACATACGTTGAACTGACATGATACATACATAGCGCACAATGATCCCACCACCTCCCAATTTGATCACATCAGAGTCCTTCTCATCGGAATCGGAACTTATCAGAAAGAAGCTTAGAGGCAATGTTTTCCGCATTATTCAACTCTTCCTCTGGAAGTGAAGTCGGGTTCTCTCGAAAAAGTTCAACCCCAGAAAAACAGAACAATTTTTTACAAGGAAGTATAATAAGTCGCACTGCCAGGGAAATAGGGAAATTGTAGGGGGGGGGGGGGGGGGGGGGGGGGAGGGACAGGTGGTTTGTCCTGTCGAACCGGACGTGAGTTTATATAACCTAAGTCTCCAAGTTCAACTCACCCGTTGTTGCATGAGAAAGCAACATATCCAGGCACTGCCCTGCCATTGTTGAATTCCTTGAACCTTCTTCGGCGAAACCCAGATAAACAGCCATTCTGATGTGATGTTTTCAAAAAAAACGGTAATACGTCAAATGAACCGAAGGAACTAACTTTGTTGGCGTCCATTGAGTCAAACATCTTTTAAGCAACCCAATTACTTCTAAGCAGACTGTATCATCGGTTTTTCGTTTGTATCCCATTGCTTGCAGGGTCTGAAGATTAAATTTTTGCGTAGGTTGCATTTTCTCGATGAAAGTGAGCGAAAATGGAGGGATTCGCGTCAGAATTAGCTGAATGGATCACAATCACATATTGCCGATACAGCGAGAAAACCTAGAGCTTTATAAAGCCCAACGCAGTGCTACTGAGCCTATTAGATCTCCTTCTCTTTCGATGCATAATTTCATTTTTCATGTAGAAGGAAGGGACAATTATGACAAGTACGTCAGACGCACTGCAAATGTTCGACAAAACTAGTCTTGGATTGCCCACATGAGAAATGCTGTTTGTAGTTAACGAAGAATGAACCTGTGATGAAAATGTCGCAAACGACTGAGACATCTGCGAACCAAGGACTACATTTGGACGTTTGCTGAATGACCGAAACAGTAGCATCAAGATTGGTACAACAGCGTCTGCATGACGTGAATCTAGAAGGCTTCCCTAAATAGAAATGTTCCTAATTTGTTGTAGGTAAAGGTTTCTAACATCTAAATCTTGAATGTTGTACAGTGATCTGACAAAAAAGCCAGAAAGCCCTTGTTAGTGATATGCGTAAGCGTGACACTTACTTTTACGCTTTTCAATAGCTGCTCTCTCAGCTGAGTTCGGTGACTGATGACTGGCATTAAACACCTTAAACAATATTCATTCCGCGTAAAAAATATGAGGTCTAGAAGTTCAAACGAACAGCAGTTAAAAACAACCCTAGTCTTTATATAAGATGAAAGGGAGAGGGGAGCACGAGGAAGGGTGTCCTATCAGGATGTACCGCTCGTAGTGGATCCAAGAGCAAGTTAGAAGATAAGATTCGAAAGCAAACAGACATACGTATTTGACTTGCCGTTTCGCTTGCGTTCTATCACGGGTAGTGTGTAGCTGGTAACCGGCTCTCAATTATAAAATCGAAAGAGAGCCTAAACAAAATGTGGCGATTTACTGGCTTTTTAGGCATGTGGCAATCTGCCTTCTACTTCTTTCAAGGCGGCTAGCAACGCCAGATGACATAGTCACTGGCATATGACCATCGACTGGAATGTAAGCTGGTCGCTGAATTACTTCTCGCAATTCTGAGAGGGGAAGGATACTTGGTCGTAGTGTCCATTCAAGATGAGGTATATTCCGCTGTACGTGGTTCCGAACGCTGATATCAAGTCTGTGTTCCAAACCTTCCAATCGATTCTGGGAACAAGGTTGCGGGACTAATGCCTCCCTGCTTCATACCGCTCTACCGGACAGCAAATACGTTGCTGTGCATTGGTTGCACAGCTGGTAGAATGGTGCACTGGTAGGCATGATATCAGGGATCAATTCTCTGATGCATGCGCTCGTTTTGCGTTGTTATAAAATATGTCCTAAACGCCTGCCCTCACAACAAGGGATTAAGGGAAATAGTAATCCAATAAAAAAATTCTACCACTACTGAGCCAATGGGGTTTCGAAATTCTCGGAAGCACCCTGCACTTGCGGTAGAAGTCGGTTGAATAACTCATCTGACCACAGCCCTTTCTGTGAGGGACACGGTCCGCACATTCCACGAATACTTTCCGCACTTTCGAAGTGATGGTACAGGTTAATTGGCATTGTTAAAGAAACACGATGGAACAACAGTTTATCGATTTGTGTGCACATATGAATTTCCTATTTCTTGAGGTAAACGGGTACGAAATGTTAATGTGAGAGGAAGTGCGGCTTCTTTTGACACCCCAACTATAGAAGGCTACGGACTCTTCTACCAGAGCCATAAAATTGGAGCTCATGGGCCAGATCACAGCGTTGGAAGCTACGTTTCATTCGGAACCTCTATATCCCCGCAAACATACGTCTTCCCCTCGCGAAGTTATGAGCTCATCGTCGCTGAATCATCAGGCTTCCGTAGGGGGTCATTGTGATCGTATTCCACGGAGTCGACTTCCTCGCAAGGTATAACTAGCTTGTTTTCATAGCATTGAAATGTATAGTTGAAAGTGACTCATAGTCGTTGAATGTATTACTTTCTGTCACCCCTAGATGGTGCTCCAGTTATGCTGCATGAACGAAAGTTCTCCATCACATACTATGACCCCACCGTCGGGTAGAATATTTTGCTGGTATCATTTTGAAGGGCGTTTGATCTGATGAAACATTTGAACCTTTCTCCTTGAAGCCTCTGAAGATCACTTTAGCGAATGTTTAGCATTCCTCTTTTGCTCCTTTATTGACCGGTGAGGAGCAAGAAAAATCCACTCCAACACCTGTAATACCTGTGAGGGAACCTAACATTGAGCCCAAAATACGTTGCAAGCCTTTGAAACACATTTCATGGAAAAGCAAAACGAGCACATGCATTAAGGAGTCGAACCTTGACGTCATGCCTGCCAGCTCACTACCCCACGAGCTGCGGCCGGTTAACGGCTATGTCATCGCTCGGCTCGGTGATCTGTTCGGTACATTGGTATAACAAAGGGAGGCGTTGGTCCCGTAACTTTGTTCCCAAAACCGCTTAGTAGATTTGGAACGCAGATTCGAAATTAGCGTTTGAAACCATCCACGACGGCGTACATCCTATCTTGAATGGCCACTGGGAGCAAGTATCCTTCCCTTAAAGGCACTGTTCACGAAAAAGTGATTTAGGAGATTTACACATGGTTTGAATTCGAAGCCCCTCTGGTACCATTTGTGCAGGAATGAGGTCGGAAAACGGCTGAAAGGGCACAATAAGGGGCCGGAGAGTTATCCACGGTCGCCCTCCGCCCCTTGATCGGTGTCACGTTAGACGAGTGTCGAGACAATACAGATTGCTATTATTCGTTCTAGGACCCACGCACAAACAGCTAATCGCCAATGATGAGGCGATGTTTTTCTCCCATTCTTCTTTCCTCTGTTTTTCTTTTTGCCGCTGCGATCCCTTATTTAATTTCCTACGCCTTGAGGCTGAAAAAGGTGAGCTACTTTTGCTGTTACTAAGGTTGCTTTGTTTATTCATGCTTATAAGTGAATGAATTGTGAATTACCATTGTCTGTTATTCGCACCAGGACCCACACGCGCGCAGTGAAACGCACTGTTTAGCTCGTCCGGGCGCCCCACCTTCTTCATTTTTCTGGTTTCATTCACGTCCAGCCCCCTTTTTAACGTTTTTTCGAGGCCATTTTTCACTGTGAAAACACCGATGCACGCAGTTTCTTCACCTCAGTCGCACTAGTTTCGATCTTGTCTTTCGTTTTTCATTGTAATCTGGATTACCCAAAATCATGTTAACGGTGCCTTTAAGAGTGATGGTGTACCGCATAGGAACCAAAAAAATTCGACCCAAAACTGAGCGATTCATCATCTATTAATGAGAATCCATTAAACACTGAAATTTGTGCACCACTCACTCGAGGTGCTGTTTTACGGATAAGGTGGTCGTACCGCACGATCGCCTCGATCAAATGGCTCATCCAAACATTTCAGTTAGGATTGAGAGGTCAGAAAAGCACAAGATACTGTGGGAGTGGTCTATGAAGGGAGCAAAGCATCAGTCTCAACGAACAGATACGCTCAGGGCAGCCATTGTCTGTATCCATTGCCATACATGGTATAACATTCATTACACTCTCACTTTTCTCAGCACTTCTATTTGATCAATTGTTCTTCGTATCGCTAATATCCAAATAAAACTCTGAGTTGTTTCGGTATAACGCGGAGAGGGTTCTTTCAGAGTGCAACGAACGACCGACCGGCCGACCAACTGACCGACAGACCGGCGGTGTTGCTGGCTACGTGCTCGCAACACTGGACCTGACCCACCTAGCCTTTCATCTCTCCGGAATCGCTCAATTGATATTAGAATGGTATAGGATAATAATAACACAACTTGCACCTCAAAGGGCCTCTGCAGAACATTGAGGCCGGGCCACAAACGTACTTGTGCTTCCCAGGAGATATAACAACGGTCTCGAAAAGCACAAGTACGGGTTCAAGTCCCATGCGAGACTGAAGTTTTGTCCATGAATCGCCAACCTTGGGATACTTGAGTTGTGCAATAGAGAAAAAATATGGTATGAATTCATGGTGACCAAACTAATAATAACCTTTAATCACAATCGACCGATTCAACGCTTATTCAAACGCTTCAAGCGGTTTAAGAAAGATTTTCTTAGGTAGGTGCAGGGCAGAAGACTACACTACTATCCTCCCTTCTTCCGCATCGGAGTCCTTCGATGACGTGGTTTTGCCTCCCAAGTTTCTTGAACCGCCGAAGCTATATCCGTACCATTTATCATAACCGCAAATAGGTATAATTAGGGTCAAGATGATTCGAAAAGGATTCGACAGAGGAGACGTATTTAACTCTCTGGAAGGAGAGGGAATGAAGTATTAGCAAGAAGAGAGATGCAACACTCCCTCGCCGAAACATTGTTCGTTCATCTTCCTCTTTATGTAGTTCGCGACGAAATGAGAAAGGACGCTCGAGATCACCACTTTCTAGTGGGCTTAATATTTTATTTTGTCGTAAACTGGAAATAATTCATCTTTGTTAGAAAACTATGGTATAATCAATCTATTTCCATCGTAACAGTGACAGCCAAACTGATTTTACCACAGGTTATGCTCACCTGACTAAGGAAACGGAAATATCTCGAGAAATGCGGCATATGCACTTCAATAAACCTTCCAACTCTCGCCAATTGTTCAAAACGTCCAGAGTACAGTTCCGGACAATATCCACGAGCATATCTGAGAAACCCTCCTCAAACATCTACGTTCATTTAATATTGATCGCTATGTTCACAGAAGAAACCGTAAATGAGAAATATTGAGGGGTACCAAAGAATCAAACGATCACAAAACGTGGTAGCAGCAGTAAAATCATTTTTGCTAGAATAAACGTTTGCTGTACTATTTTGCAAAGAAAATCTTCTTACCAACGTATATCAGTGCGATACTCGCGGAAGACGTCGACACAGATTCGATTATCATTGCCAAATGTGAGCTGAGGTCCTTTCGTCTCACCATAATTAACTACCACCAACACGTTGAGAGAGTGATTACAGACTCCATAGATTGGATAGTACTTACTTTAACAAGGGCTTTACTGGCAAACATCCAGATTAAACAGCCATCAGCAACCCGTCCGTCGACAACTGTTACTTCTTTCGTACTAGGCAATCTCAAAAGCGATTGCAGCAGAAGAACAGTCGCCTCTGATAGCAGCTGCCATGTTTGCGTGTCTTCTCCCAAACGTTGAACTAAGCAGTTGACCTAAATACAGCGACCGCTTTCATAAATTGAGTCAAAAAAGTAGGGGGGGGGGGCACTCATCAGTCACTCTAACTATTCGGTCGAAAAAAGCTTTGCTTTTGCGACAAAAAGTTCAATGCGCTAAAAATTTCGAAAAACAATGGTAATATGATAGCAAGGATGTGGGAACGTGACGCGTAGGAAATTTCCCGAGCAACTGAGTGAACGAGGGCTTGCATGTGGGCTTTCGCTCATCAGCAACCTATTCAGTGAAACACAATTCACCGATCAACGGTCAACAATTGGTTGAATGCTTCATTGCAGGAAATAATTGCCTTCAAAGTAACGTGAGCATTGTCCCATAGTTTCGGTGGCATGAACACCAAAAGTTGCCAGACGCACACTAAACAGTTACANCTGTCAAAACAAAAATTTAGTGACTTCATTTGGTTCCTAGTTGTTCATCAGTCGCACTTCAAGAACGTTGTTCCTTTTCACTACTATATGCTCCACCTTCCTGAGCATCCCTTTGTGAGGAAATGTTCGCAACTTGGTACTATCTGAAAAACGGCTGTCATTGATTTCTTTGAGGCACAGCTCCCGACTTCTAGGCAAAATGCATTAGTGAAGTGCTCGAAGGATAAGGGAAGGCTGTTGTTGATCGCACTGGTGAATGTATTTCTAATATTTGATCGATTCGAAAAGTTCTAGGATAAGCCGAAATGGCTTTTTCTTTTTCGCAGAATTTTTATTTTTATACATATGTGAAATGCGTTTTATCTGTTTGTGTATCACTTTATCTGTCACAAAACTCGACATCACAAGAAGGATGACCTAGTGAACCAGATCAAGTTAGGGTTAGATGGGGTTTAGAGCGAGATGGAGTAGAGCAGGCGTGAGCTTAGCCGAGCACTGCTAAGGCAGCGCGCAAAATTACAATTCCCGTTTCACTTTCAAAACATCTCAGAGAACAGGAGACCACGAATTAACTTGGGCAACAAATTGTCGGATTAGATGAGGGAGGACCCGCTGTATATAAAGCCTTCTCCAAATAGGCAGAGCATACGACAAAAACTGACATCTTTGCACCAAGGCTGCCTAGAAGCCAGAAAAACTCTGGCAGGAATAGGCATATTCTGAAGTGTGCTGAGTATGCCTAAATTGGGACCTTCGTCTACGATACCCTCGACGAAAGAGGCCCACTACGAAACTCAAAATTCTTTTCTAAAACGTTCTGAAGTCCCGATAAGTGTAGATGTATTGGCAGAGCTAGGGAGGTCTAATGTACTACATATATAATCCGCTAAGTGAGTCTGTTATTGTGTTTGCGTGTGCATTTGTTTGTATGTGGTTTGTCCGACCGGAATTCATCCTTCTGGACTTAAGGAGCCTTGGCCCTTTGGTAGGTGGTGTGAGATGTGAAGGACCGGCAATGGTGACAGGGATTGATAACAGCTGGTAAGACTGATAAGGGGCCATAGGAGGAAAGAGTTTTCAGGTTCGTGACGCATTTCCTGTCAATAATGAAAAGGAACCTTGGTATTTCAATAGGTGATATGTAATATATGTGCCACACCGGTGCTCGATCCCGATCTCGGCCTCGAGGTCGGCGCATCGAGTACCGGGGGATACGTGGTATCCCGAGGTGCAGTGGCCTGCGGACCATTGCATCTGACCCGACCTCCTAGTATATATAGCTGGCTCTCACCTAGGTGCTAACTCACTCAAGTTAAGATTCGTTCTTAGTGCTCTGGTTGCTACGTGCATTTACTCTTTGTTGTTTTTTTTTGTAATTATTCTCATCGTTCTCATTTGTTTGATAAAAATATCGTCTTCATATTCGTTTTTTTAACAGACATTATATTACGCAACTATATAAGTTTTAATCGGGCTCGATTAAAAACGAAACTATCCACTAGACGCTTAAAGTTACATGAGAGCCAAGCCAAGTGAGCTCGAATAAATGAATTCAGTTGCAGAAATGTCTGTTGTGAGCGGATTAACGCACAACTCTGTGGAGAACACAGTAGAGGATATGGTTGTTGGAGAAGACAACAGAAGCGGTACAGAGGTGAGTGAAATGAACTCCCAGCTAGCTAGTGCTTTTGATAATATTATCCGCCGCTTAGGGGATAGTCTGGATGACCAAACTCGCAATTTATCTGCACAGAAAAAGCAAAATATTTTGGAATTGGTCCAAGGCACAGTAGAAATAGCTAGAGAAAAAGCTAAGCTGCTAATTGGTCAAGCTAGGCATTCAATTTTTGAGGAAATTGGAATAACTCCGGGAGAATTGCGCAAAGTTTTGCCAATCGCGAGTTATAATAGCAGCTTGATGCAAACTTTGACAGCAGAAATCGGCTGCGAAACCAATGAGGTTTTGGCCAAAGTGAGGGCCATGACTGAAGAGCTAGTTAGTCTCAGAAGTCTAAAAAGCCAATTGCAGAGTCAAGTGGACGAACTGACGACGAAGCTGGCCACCTCGTTCGGAGAAGCTCGCACAGCCACGGAAGCCCAAGGTGAGGACAACACTGGCGTAGATTGGGCTGCTGTGAGCAAGCAGCTCTTGTCATTGAATAATGGCAATAAACCCAATGTTCAGAGCCGCCAGTCCGCGTGCCACGAAACGAAAGATGGGCGACTGAAGCACCCGAGGTCAACCTACAGCGGACGGTCGAGTCCATCTTGTCCGCTGTCTACCAGCGTGTCGACAGTCGGTGAGTCGAGTTCTGTTTTGCAAAACTCCATAGGGGAGGGAAGATCAGATACTCACATATCCCATGCAATGAACGGAATGTTCAGCGTTTTTAAAGAGGTTTTTAAAGCGCAAAGCGTGGCCGAGGTGCCCAAATATGACGGGAAGACCTCACTAAGTGACTTTTTACGGGCAGTAGAAATGAAATATCCCTCAACAGTCTGGTCGGATAGCGACAGACGGGATATGCTGGTAAATAACCTGGTAGGATTGGGTCGATCCGTTTATAAGGGGTTACCAGAGTGTGTAAAGAAGGGTAGTTTTGCGGGAATTGTGAAAGCCCTCAAGGAAGCCCGGCGTAACCCTTGCGAAAGGTTAAGGATCATCGATGAGTGGGACAAACTCAAGAAGAGGAATAGTGAATCGGTAGCAGATTTTTGCTGCCGCATGGAGGATATCTCCAGGAAAATTCACCCAAGTAACGAATGGGATTTCCATTTAGCCTCTAAGTTGTACTTCTGCCTACAGCATTGGAAGGATTCGTACCACATGCTAGCCGCTCTAGAAGGGCAGAATGGGGAGACTTACGATGCCGTCAAAAGGGTTGCACTGAGGCTCGAAAAGACCCAAATGGCGAAGTCTTTTAAAGAAGAAAATTCTGGAAAGTTGGACAACACTAGGGGGAAGATTAGCGCCCAAAAGGCGACAGCCTCCAGCTATGATGATAAGGGCACCCGAAAATGTTATAACTGCGGGGAGAAAGGTCATTATAGTGCCTCCTGTCCAAATAAATCCCCTTCTAAAGGTCCCATACCTGGTAGAAAAGGTCATGGATCAATAAGGAAGGATAAGGATGGACATGCTCCTAAGAAATCACTCTCTACATTTGTGGAGGAATGGTGTGGGATGGTCCGTACCTGTAAGTCAGCTTTAGATTCAACCACAATAGCGGTGGGGAAACCGACGTTGTACGATGCAGAGATCTTTGGGCTCACGACTAAAGCATTGATA